TCACCCCGTACCAAAAATAAATAAATCAAAAAGTGTCATTTTTTCCTCTATCCAGAAACACTGAAAATCAATTACCATGTCATACAACCAGATGTTCAAAAGTTGCCAAATATAATAAATCAGAACAAATTGTGATGAAGCAGGGCATGTTAGCACTGAAAGACAAAATTACAGGCAAGGAATTAATATAATCATTCACTATCCTCATACAGCTTAGCTGAAGGTATTAGTGCATGATGTCTCAGGAGGATTCTAAAGCATTGTTTGATGAGAAATTGAATTTTATTGAATTTCACTTTAAGCAACATTGCTAAGCCTACTTTAGTTTTTTTAAAACCATACTTCCACGTGTAAGTTTCTAAGATGACATAAGGGAGCTCTTTGAATTGTTTTCTATGACTCAGTGATGTTCAAATGGCTCTGTTCCTTGTATCCCATCCCATAAAATCCAGGTATTATGGATTATTATCGGTACAACCTGCACAGGATTCAGAAGGGAAAAATTAAAGCCAATGTAATGACAATTGCAAAATAGACTAAAATAGAATTTCTGTGCATAAAAAATGTTATATCTTTACAATGTTATCTAGAACTTACAGGAGAAAAGGTTCCAACCCTGGTGGGCCACATGATACACACATGCACACACGAAGAATTATCGTTTGGGACTGGATAATTGTGGGGAGAGTATGCATTCTATGCTTAGAGTAGAAGAGAATGGTGTAACCATTCTCAGGATGAAGGGGGGGGGGGAAATAGATTTTGTTTGAAGCTTTTTAGGGATTTGGAATGTTGGAATAAATCCCAGGAGACAGGATACAATCAAAGATCAGTGAAAGACATTATCAAATGTCTCACCAATTTAATCCCTTATCTGCGCACATACTCTCTCTTTTATAACATATTGGTTATACATCAATAGTAACTTTCTGAAAGTTACTATCACTTCATATAGCTTTGGTTGTTTCAGCCTTAGCTTTTTAAAGTTCGATAGTGGCCTCTTTTTCACTTTCCTTTTTTAATGGCTGCACTTTGTTCTCAGACTACTTTTTTCAATAATATCCAATACTTGTAAAGTGACGATTCAATTTCCCTTAACACCATCCTTTCATCTTTCCAAGAATTTCCCCCCCCTTTTCTGCTTATGTTCTCTTTCACAATCCTCCCTTTCAACTGATATTGGTTTTGTTTCTCTTTGGGTTATGCTCTGTGTGCGCCCAGAATTTATACTTAATTTAACTGAAATTATAATTAACTCGGGCCAACCTTCTGCAGATATAGGTATCTTGGATTTGATTTTGTACCTCTACATTTTCTGGTTTGTTCCTTCTGGTATCACTGGCAAAAAACATATTAGTGAAACTTTCAGTCATGTGTTTAGAAAATATTGGGTGTCACACTGACCCTCATAATACTCCAGGACTCACTTACCTCACCTCTTTCTTGCTGAATACTTTTTACTTTAGCACTTTTGTTATGAATCCAAACTTTAAGTTCTGCTATTTTTCACTGCATCAAAAAAAACACATTCTGAAACACAATTAGATTTTTCCAGTTCATAGCATTGCCCCACTATGCTCTCAGCATTATTTTCGGCATCTTTTCAAAAGCAGATGACCCAATTTTTGACATGACTTAGGTTTTGCGAGACCGGTCTGTTTTTATCAGCTCATTTTTCTAGCTATTATAACTTCTTCTCCATTATCACAAGGATTTTCTCTATCACTTCTTCCAGGTCTAGGACTTTCTGATCTTTCCTAGCCATCTTTAAAAATCGCACTTGCTTTTCTTCACCTCACCTCTCCAAGGAGTTATCAAAATGATAAATTCAGAATTTAGAACATAATATTAGTACAGTATGTCAATCAACATACACTGACGTTAGTGCCCACAATTCACATAATCAGCTTCTGTTACCTATTTCATTCTCCTTCTTAAACAATCAGTTTTAAACTTAGTTCTTCTTAATAGTTTAGGCATAACCACAGCACAAATAATAATAGGGACCCTATTGTGCAAGGCATAAACAATGAAAAGATGGAAACGTACAATTTAAAATATAATATGAGACATAACAGACAAATACAACAAATAGATATAAGGTGGAATAGGATACAAAGGACCAAAAGTTAATCGTCAATTACTAATGTTGTAAACAGAGGTCGTAGCACAACAGTTAACATTGTCAAGTTAATTTATAGGTATCAGACCAGAGATGGGTTTTAAGGAGGGTAGTGGCTCTATATACTGCATGCGTCCTTCCATGGATAAAGGGCAGCACGGGAGAAGGCATAAAGGTTCTTGCTGGAAAATACGGTAAATTAACATGGTCTAGTATTGCTGGTGCAGCAGTGGGGCAGGAATGGATTAAGGACATAACAGAAAAGATCAAAATAGGCCACAAAAGGCCTAAAAATGGCAAATCATTTATTCTTCATGTGGGAGAAAAAGGAGAGTCAGTGAAACGATGAGAAGAGGTGTCAAGGGAGGAGTTCTTGAAGAGCTTGTGAAAGCTTCAATTGGTGCTTTCAAAGTGCCCCTGCGAGTGTGTTTTGTATATCCTACTCACTAACCAGTCACTTCCGAGTGAAATTCAAGATGCTTAACACAGTCTTTAAAGCTCTGCATGGTCTTCAACAGTTATTTAAAAGGCTGCCTTATGCGCTGCTTCTGCAGTTGATGTCTGCTTAGATGGAGTTCTTCCCATTATCTGCTTTTGAAATCTGATTTCTGAGATCAGTAGCAGGAGAGTCTGAGCTGAGCCTCGGAACTTGTGGTGAACTCCTGACTCCATCGAGGTCACTGACAAAACTGACACTGATTACAGGCTAGAACCTCAACCTGTTACAACAGCCAGAGTTTGTCAAAACTCACATCCTGCTACAAGTGTTTTGGTTTGATTAGACTTTTGAATAAACTATTATGTATGTATCTCTTTTGCCTGGTTGATTGACATATTGAACCTAATTGGAATATATGAAGGGCAAAGCTGAATTCTGAGCTGGTTTTAATTATTTTTATTACAAATATTAGTCTCTGCACTATATGTAAGAATTTGTATGTATGCACTTAAACAACATTTACTTCCTTGAATAAGCTAAGGCTACGTCTACACTGGCATGAATTTCCAAAAATGCTTTTAAACGGAAAAGTTTTCCGTTAAAAGCATTTTCGGAAAAGCGCGTCTAGATTGGCAGGATGCTTTTCCGCAAAAGCACTTTTTGCGGAAAAGCGTCCATAGCCAATCTAGATGTGGTTTTCCGCAAAAAATCCCCGATTGCCTTTTTCGCGATCGGGGCTTTTTGCGAAAAACAGTACTATGCTATCTACACTGGCCCTTTTGCGCAAAAGTCTTTCGGAAAAAGACTTTTGCCCAAACGGGAGCAGCATAGTTTTTCCGGAAAAGCACTGATGATTTTACATGAGATCATCAGTGCTTTTCCGGAAATTCAAGCAGCCAGTGTAGACAGCTGGCAAGTTTTTCCGCAAAAGCAGATGATTTTGCGGAAAAACTTGCCAGTCTAGACACAGCCTAAGTGAATGGTTAAAGCTAATGGTTTCACTCTGCTTTAAGTGAAACCATTGTTTCTCTAGGCTTCAGAAAGCCCTATAATGCTCCCAAGAATTTAAAGCTGCTCTCAGTACACCAGTAAACTACACATTTCTAGTTTATTATGAAGTTACATTTGTAAAAGACTTTGCCTACTCAAAGATTCTTTTTCTACTGGTAGATTATTATAGACCAAGACTCTGTATTCAAGGTAACCTATGACAGTGTTTCTGAAAGTGTTCCACGTAATCACTCTCAGAAACACATTAACTGGCCGCCCCCATGTATTTATCGGCACCACGGTCACAGAGCTTCGTGGCTCCCATTGGCTCCATATCGTCCTTTGCAGCCAAAGGGAGCTGCAGGAAGAAGTGGCCTACCCCATGCCACTTCCCGCAGCTGCCCTTGGCTGCAAAGGATGAAACTGAGCCAATATATCGTCCTTTGCAGCCAAAGGGAGCTGCAGGAAGAAGTGGCCTACCCCATGCCACTTCCCGCAGCTGCCCTTGGCTGCAAAGGATGAAACTGAGCCAATGAGAACAGCAAGGCTCCAGAGCTGCGGCACCGATAAATAAACAAACCGGGGCAGCCAGTTAATTTGTTTCTGAGAGTGATTCCGCGGAACACTTTCAGAAACATTGACCTATGAGGTTCTCACTTCCTCAGTTCAGTATTATTCAGATTACATTTTAACCCATTTTAGGAGTGCAAGAACTAATTCATCTTCCCTGATTTGACAAGATTATGTTAAATGGCAGACACTGCACCAGGAATGCAAGAAAACTGCAAGGGATTTCACTGGATTGTAATTTTGATTTTTTGTAAATAAAATACAAGAGCCACTTTATGTACTCTGAAACTGACAGAGCATCCTCAAAGCATCAGACATTCACTTGTGTATGTATAAAGGCATGTGCAATTTCATGCCTAATTGGTGTACATCGTTACCATGGATGAACACAGGCATCTGATTTCATGAGCCAAGGACAGTTAGATGCATGTGATGACTTAGTATTTCACATTGGCATTTGGCTACTCACAAGCCTGCCAGTCTATGTGTAGCACACTACTGCAACAGCAGCATGCACAAAAGCATATTTACAATTGGATACAGGAAACCCCTGAGTTGCATCTGCCCGAGTTGTGACCCCCGCACTTACAACTATTGTTTAAAAGTGCGGAAGGGGCCAAAAATCCCTGACTTACGTCCTCGGCCCACATTTACAACGGTGCACGGTGCGAATCGTCAATGAGGGTTCGAGTTACAATGCCCCCGACTTGCAATGCTTCCCCAGGAACCAATCGCATCACAAGTCAAGGGTCACCTGTATCTGACTTTCTGAAAATCAGATCTTTAGAGTATAGTGCTGCATACAGTCCTAAGCTAATACAGGACTGTTATTTGTAGTATCCTCCCAGTTTCTGCACAAAAGGACTGCACAACAATATATATTTTTACACCACCCTTTTATTTCATAGCCAGAAATACAGTTCATAGGGTCAAAAAATCAATAAATAGTGGTGTTTAATCATTAAACATAAAACCCATCTCTCTTTGGCATCTGACAGTATTCTGTTTGTGAAACTAGAGACTATATAGGAATAGTTTACTTTAGAGATCATTCTTAAATACAATAAGTTTACAGAGGTGCAGTTTACGTTAAAATATACATCAGCTATAAATATTTCTAACATACCTAAAAGACTAATCAAACCAGTAGAATGCAAAACTATCCACAGGCTCTTTACTGTAGCCAACTACAACTGTGGAGTAAGTGAAAGGATGAAAAGAATTCTTGTTTTTCCACAACCCACATTCTGCACTAGTGCTTTCCATTCATTCTGGGGAAAAAAAAATCAAAATTGTGCTAGGTATGACTGTTCAATTATAAATTATTTCTATTTCATAGACACGGTGCTTATTTAAATCTTTAACTTCTAAATAGCTCACTGAGCAGAACCAAGCATGGTTTCACACCCTCAGTAATAACTTGCACCTTTAAAAGACAAAGAATGAAAAATGGTACTTTTACAGAGGCAAGCTACATTTATTTTCCAAACATATTTAAGTTTGCAGTAGTTAAAATTGCATTTGCTGTCATGAAGCAACAAATTAAGTCAGTGCATTTGATATACATTGTTAAATCCAGACTCAGTACTTCAAGGTTGCTATAGAAGCACTGTACTCCTTCAAATTAATTCAGGCATCTGGATTTTTAATTTTAAAAAGTGTTCAGTGCTGCAAATAACTGGAATTTCCAGTCCAATGCTAAAGTTGTGTTTTTAACACCTTCCATTACTTATACATGTAATACAAATAAATATTTTAAAAAAATCAAATTTCATTCAATGCTACTTTCTAATGTAGACATTTTAATCTATAATGTTGAAATCTAAATTGGGTCCTTGCTTATATGTCAAAACAAATTTTAAAAACCAAAGTTTATTACAAGTAAATAATCCTTGTAAGTAAATTTGATGAAAATCTTCATTTCCAGACTGGATTTTTTTTAAAAAAAATATTCCAAATACTTATTTAACCTAAGTTTTTAAAATAGAGGAAGAAAAAAAGAAACTAAAAATAACTTTGATAATTTTCAATATTTGTTCATTTGCATCAGTGAAATCTTTTTCTAGCACAGACCCACTTTCAAAATGTTTAAAACAATCCAGTTTAAATAACAAGTGGTCCAATTCAGCCACTTTCACATTCTTTTCAGTAATGCAACAAATTACCATACATACATTTTAGTGTAAAGTACAGAAAATGACAAAAGGAGAACTTGATGCTTCTTCGACAGCAACTTCCAATAGCAAGCCAAGTTAGCAACAACCAAGCAGACACCATCACCAATTTCTGAGTGTCAAATCACCGTAAATACCTGTACAAAAGCCTTTTCTTTGTTAAAAAGTGTCCCAAAGAAACGTCCACCAATTAGAGTCAGATTTTCTTCAGAAGCTAATCGATCAGAAAAGATGTTTCCCCTCCAAATATCTGAGACATTTTGGGTGTTCAAAATTTAATTCAATAAATAACGTTCTGATAATACTTAGCTGATACAACCACCTACAATGTGGACAGTCATGTACACAGTACAATAGTGGATTTTTGCAGCAATGAAGAAATTATCAGGAGTTGGCTTTAACTTCCACATGGTAGTTCATGTGTTATTTCTAGCAAACATACGGTCCCCTCTTAGTGTAAGGTGCTGGAGCTGATATTGTAGCACTTCTGTGTCTGCAGGTTCCTTGATGTTCATTTTATCTAAATTGAGGTAGTCCAGGGATTTAGAATGAGCCCTCTTACCTTTGAGGAGACAAAGAGGCAGAGGACCATGAAGTGCCTTGTAGGGTTCATATGGTAAAGCCTTAGTGCATTTATCCCCTGAGCTCGGCATCCGTCGTCTCCTTCTTCCATTTACAGCTGGAATCTCATATGGCTGATAGTACCTACTTCTAGCTTTGTACAACCGTGAGGAACGTGTCAGTCCTGAATCAAGTTGTTTGGAGCGCACGGTGGGCATAGCTTCCACTTTATTTTCTTCACTTCCTGTACACTTCTGGGCTAATTTCAAGAGCTCCTCACCAGTTGTGAAGCCAACCAGGTAGTTAGAATCCATGTGAAGGATCTGATAGCCTGAAACAGTCCGTCGCATTGGTGAGCATGGGGTGCTGGAGCATCGAGGTTTCTCTGCTTCCACTTTGCCTGTGGAACTCACCTCTGCAATAGGTAAGGGAAGCGTAGCTATGGTTGTTCTGGTCTCTCCATTTATGTCAACTTCCATTTTAAATACAACTCTACTCTCCTAAAAATAAAAAAGAGCTGAATTAGAAATACAAACAAAAATACGTATAAAGCCTTCAGATAAGCAGGATTATCTCAGAAGGCTTAACACTCCTAACTTACTAGGGTAGGAGAATGCAGGCAGCACCTCTCTATTCTGCCTCATCTCTCATTCTACACAGTGTCTTACAGTAAGCGTATCAAATGCACTTCATTTCTCTCTCTCAGAATTACTTGGCCTGTTTTAACTAAAAATGACATAAGTATTGAGATGGAATATTTTTATGTTGCTTTTCTGCAAACAATGCATTCAATGAATTCAAGTATAGCGTTCATTTTGTATGGTGCTATTTTAACTGGACAAAGCACAACATAAGTACTCTTTCCACTCCCTAAAGCTGAAATCTTTTAATCTGTTTGTTCTAAAAGTGTTACTCTCATTTGCTGTAAAGCCATTTTCACAACCCATTAATGTAGTTAAAGGTAATTTCTAGATATAGTCAACCGTGAACAGGAAAAAACTGGAGTAAATGCTTGAAAAATTCAACCAATAAGCTACTTGACCAAAGACTACAGCAAAAAGCCACATCTGAATATACCTTTGTATATTTTCAGAAATGAAACACTTATGTATCATGATGAGAGTGTCCTCTGGACTGTTTCATGAACCCTTTTCATAAACCATGCCCCTCCCCCAAAAAATGTAAACAACTTTTTCAATACAAAAGAACAACCTCCCAACTCATTCACATGTAATGCAATAATCCATGTAAACCACCAGCATATTTTCATTTACCACATCACAAACGTATGCAACAGCAACAAAATGCTACTGAACGACACTTCCCAGAATATCACAAACCTAAAAATTCACACTCCAGTATGACCACAGGAAACATATACTTACAAGAAACACCTTACAGTAAGACAAGGAGAGGTACTGACTCTAGCTTTTGTTCACTCTTGGTACATTAAAAAAACCACACACACACGCCAGACTGCCCTTCAATCTTCATTTCACAGCCCTTTCTCCACTTAATCCACTCTCAATGGTATTACTTGTGGGTATCTGGCATAGAAGTATGGTGTAAATGGAGGTAACAGCACAATAAATTAGGTGCTGGAAAGCTGGAATCCTTGGAGCAAAGAATTACTGTTGTGGTGTACAGTATCAGTAGTAGAAATATACATGCCTGTAGGCAGAGGGTTAGATGGCACACACTTGTGGGCAACTAAATTTTCACTTCCTTTTGTGACTGTGTTAGAAATTTTAGCTATTTCAAAAAGTGTTTTATTTAATTTATTTTAAAATGATTAATCATTGACTGTCACATCAACATGTAAACCCACACATCTTTCTTCTTTTCCAGGCATGGAATGATAACAGGTGGCTCTCTCAGGTCAATTCATTTTCAGTGGTTCATCAAAAAGGAGCGTCCCTCTATGGCTTCCCAGATCCTAGGACATGAAAGAGAATGGGGAAATAGCAAATTCCATTACTGAATAGCATCTGTATCTGACAAGATTCCTATTATCTGCCACCAGGGGAACTATTTTATCATACTCTAAGGGTATGCTACTGGCCTCTATTCTGAGACTGAGGAGGGTGGACCTGAAGAACGAATCGAAAATTGCATTGGGAGGAATGAAGGAGGGTAACAGATAAAGAACTGACAAACCACCATGCATACATCTGGAATTGGGCTCCTACATCATGAGGCTAACTTAAAAAAAAAAAAATCACACAATCAGGAGGAAATCATGTTATTCAAACATCAAAAGGCAGAGGAAAACAATGGGGAGCTTCCTGATTCACAATTTGTGCACAAGATCTCAGATTCAAAATTCAACCTTAATGAAAAAAATATACAATTTCCTCATGTTCGCTTGGAAGGAGAAAGTCACTACTTATCCTCTACTACGTGGTGGAGTGGCCAAGTTACTCTTCCACATTCCCTTTGCGTATAGCTACAGTGGCTTCACCTCTCCATCTCAGGGTATGACTACAGTGCAGAATTTTTCAGAAAAACAGCCATTTTTCTGGAAAAACTACACTTCTGTCCACACTGCAATTGTGTCCTTTCAACAGAAAGTCGAACAAATGTAGGAGGGTTTCTGACAGTTGCAAACCTCTTTCTACGAGGAAGAAGCCTTTTTCCAAGAGAGCTCTTTTGGAGAGGCATGTGTAGACAGGGAAGAGGAGTTTTTTACAAAAGAGGAGGCCTCCAGGAAAAAGCACAAGTGCCCTGGTAACCACTCCGTACATAGCAATTACAACTTAAATGTGAGATAGCATCTAATCAATGCAGACACTATCTTTCGAAAAAGCAGATCACTTTTTTGGTGCACTTTTGCTGTATGAACGCTCTCTTCTGGAAAAGCTTCTTTTGAAAGAAGCTTGCAGTCTAGACGTAGCCTCAGTCTTTTATTTCATGTGCCCTTCTCCCATATTTGTCCTCTCTTCCCCCTCACATTTTCCCCTCATGTCCCCCCATCTGTCTCCTGTCTCTCAGACTCTCCTAAACACATTCTGCAACCTTCCACAGTCCTCTAGACGCAAACTCCCTCCCCCAGTTTCCCTCCCTGCTTTTCGGTTTTACTGCCTCAACATCAGTTATTCCTCACAGTGCCTCCCTCGGTCTACTCAGAGTCCAAAAGGCTGCTACCAGCTTCCCTTGCCAGCTCTGCTCCAGGCGAGGAGGCTTTACTGTGGGCTCTGCAGTATAAAGCTTATTTAAGCTTTACGCTGCAGTGCCACAGGGTGTAATAAGGATGGTAACGTGTAGACCTGTGGTTCCCCACCTTTTGTATATCACGGACCGGCAAACCCATTAGTAAAAATTTGGTGCACTGGCAACATTTTATTTGCATATTCATTACACAAATAATGAATATGCAAATAAAATGTTATCGGTCCACCTAGCCCCAAACCAGCTCCTTGCTCCCCAGTGCCTAACACCCTTTGGACCCCCCCCCCCACTCCTACACCCCATGCCCTTTGATTCTTAAACTCTGAATCCTACAACCCATGCCAACAACCTCTTGCCCCATGACCCCACCATGCCCTCACCCAACACCCTTTTGTTCCCACCCCACCCCTGCACTCACCACAGCAAGGCTGCCCCCTCAAGGGAGCATGGGAGTTACTGCTGTGTGGGTGGGGAAATCAGCTCTCCTCCTTTGCATCTCCTCCCTCCCCTAGCACATCTTGTGCCCCCATGGGTGGGGGCACAGGGGGGAGCATAGAATCCCAGCCAGCAGTTATTACTGGGGGGAGAGGTGGGAGGAAGGCGCCTCCTGCTGCTGCCACCTGAGCCACTATGGCTGCCAGAGATGAGCCACTGGGAACAGCCAGCTTGAGCTCTGACAGCCACCGCAGCCCGGCAGCCAGCAGTTTACTACACAATTAACCCATAAGCCTTAACTTTATCGGTTAATCCTGTCAACTACACTCATTTCCCACTCCCCCTCCGATGCCTCTGTATCAGCGCTCTGACCAGTTCTGAGAGTCATGCACATTGCTTTCAATGAGGTGGCCCTGCATTCAGTGTGCTTGCCTGTTGCCCTGCCCTACCCTCCTACCCCCAACCCAAGCACTGAAGAGACTAGTATTCAGAAATCATGCATCATTATTTAGGGAACAGCAGGGACAAAAGAAAAAAAGAAGTCCAGGGCAGAAGCTTGGAGGTGGGAGTGAGGAGAGAAGAGATCACAATTGTGAAAAGGACAGCCTTTTCTTCATGATGCATCCCTGGGGTTGAGTGTGAGCCTACCTGTGATTTCCCCCTGGAAGAGGTGGCTATGGAACTCTGAGGAGGCAGTGTTGATCTGCAAAGGCTGGAGGGGGTGTAGGTGCATGTAGGAATTATGTAAAACTACCATGCAGTCCATCACATCCACTATGAACACCATTTTCTCTTGGTGCATCACTTTCCATTCCCTGCATGCTCTCCCTCCCTTACATTCTACATGCATCTTCTTCAGTATTCCACCTCTGGCTTATGCACTCCCTGTCCAAGCTGTGGATTGAACATTAAGACATCTGACTCATGCCGTTCTTTAATTGGAACCAAAAGACACAGATGAAGTAGAGTGATGCACAGGAGGTAATGCAATCATTATACACCATCAATATAAAGAGCTAAGCCAGATTGCTCAGAAATCTCTTCAATATGACTTAAGCTCCCACAGATAATTTGTTCATAAAAAGATCCAGGCCAAGGTGTCAACTGCACCAAATAGAGAGGGGGAAAAAACCACATTGGTAACAATGTTACAGTCCTTGAATCTACCAATTCACTTTGGTATGCTTGTATTTAAGAACATCCTGGAAAAAAAAGGAATTTATACATTCAACATACTGTAGGAGTATGGTCATAGAAGGGATGATTTTATTCTTTACTCATTTTAATACTTTAAGTGCATAAAATATATAAACACAAACCACATGAATTTTATTTCTATTGCAATTTGCTAAAGAATGTAGCAAAGTTACTTTGGTGTGTTTAATACACATGGCTATGGCAAACGAAAGCCAAAGCAGCCCAAACAGATTCTGTATGTTGGCTGTTAGCTGTAAAATACTGTAATCTTGTAAAAGAAACAGTTTTCACATATTTATTAAATGAGAAAAACAAAATGTAGATTGTTTACTTTATAATCATTAAAATGTTTTGTATATGTATGTTTCACACATACACAAAATATGTATGATGTGGAAATTTCTGGTATGTTTTGATGGCTCTAAATCTCCTGATGGAATTATACACTTACATAAGAACTGTTTATTTGTCTGAAAAGATTATATCCATTCTAGAGCTCAGTAAGTATACAGAAATATACATCAGGATAGCTGAACCACATAGCTGAAAGAAATAAAATTCACCCAAAATAAACCCCCAAGATATATGACTTCACACCATCCAGAAGACCTCGGGAAAAAACAGGCCTATTAATTTTCCTGCTTGGTTCCACATCCAACAAACCAAATATGAGTATTTCTCAAAAGACAACTGAAACCATGCAAATACAACTAACTGAGGAACTGTATGTCTGAATACAACTGAAATTATGAAGACTTATAATTATCAACTTAATGCAACAAATTATAGTTCTGAATACTCTATTCATGCAAATCTGTAATCAGCTTGGATAGAGTGCCCTGCCAAATGAATCTTAAAATATTTCTTCACTTCAGAGTAAGAGGCAATATAACTCAATTTCAAATTATATTTTGTTTTACGGTCTTATTTAAAAGTCAAGAATAAAATTGTAACAAATGGTGGTTTGCATCATAATATGCATCTAAGCTCTAATAAACTGTACTTTTGACTGAGAAGCTGAAAACAGTAATCAGAAGTGCTGAGTCAAAATTAAAAATGGGACAGGATGACATAAGTGGACATTAAGATACTGATACTTCATTCATTCTATAAAATTATCCATAATCTTATTTGAAATCAATACTGCCATTAGGAATTCTCCTTTCAGTACACAGGTTCTGGAAAAACATTTTGTGCTGCAGTTCACAGTAGGCTCAACATTCCAAACTCCTTAGCAAGAAAAATAAAAAATTACAGGTGGTAAAGGTGGGATGGAATATTCTAAGTTTATTATCTTATCAAAAGAGAAACATGCTCATAAGCTCTTTCAGAATCAGAGAGGTTACTGCTATAATAGTCTCATTTGCGAGTAAATAGATTCAATGGAATCGAAATGAAGTATCCAACCACAGATGAGATCCACAATTGCCAGACATCTTTTTCCTAAACAGGCAGACCCTGCGTTCTGCGGGTGGTGGTAACGGGGGGTTGTAGCCAGACATGAACCCCATCTTGGTTTCTGTCCCCCCCTCCCCCTGAGAGCAAGAGAAAGGCAGTTAGCCTTTGATGCCCTGGGAACGCAAGTATGCTGCCTGTCCCTGACTCTCCCATAAACAGAAACCAGATAGTAATTGGGCTAACTGACGACTCGGGGCTCCCGTCGCCCTGATGGCTAGTACCAGTAATTGACACACCTGCACTGTCCCAGGAGAGGAATCTTCGCCCATCACATACCAGAGGTGCCCATTGTCTGCATTTTCCCAGGTGTAAATTATGCTTTGCACCCTTCGTGGGAAACTTGGTGTTCAAAGCCATTTTT